TAGCTATAATTTGTTATATCTGTGTTTGGTTTGATCACTGTCTTGTGTTTGAAATCCTGTAATTAGAGCAGCGCGCTGCCTCCAGGGTCACTGCTGCGCCGAGTAATGCAACACCAGTAGGAGCTCTCTTGGCTTCGGGAAGAGGTACATTACAGAGAACGAAGGCTGGAACCCGGGTAAATTAAACAGCACCTCTTGGGAAATGAAGAGCACAAAGAGAGGAGGGAAATACCAAGGATCGTCTATCCCTGAGGAAGAGACAGAATCAGCGGCAGAGATGCCTGGAAATGGGAAGAGCCTGGTGCTGTGCGATCCCCTCCCCCACTAGGTGGCACTGAGCTCTCTTTCTTTACAAGAAAAAAAAATATGGTGGAGGTCATTTTAATGTGGAAAAAAATTGAAGAAAAGCAAATTGTGGCTGGTCCTCCAGGAAGTCTGCTTGGCTCCTCCTTGCCGCCCTGCACCCCCCAGCATGTGCCTCAGCACCAGCCCTCGGTGCCCACGTTCGGCATCGGGCCAGGGGGGCTCGAGGATGCCAAGGCAGCTCAAAGGGTCCGTCGAGGAAATGGAGATGAGCCCGGTGCTCTCTGGAAGGTAACGTGTGAGGTGAGGTCTAGCAGGCAAAGCTGCTGCCTTGGCGCAACGCACGTCTCCGTGACGGAGGCGCCGGGCTCTGCTCGGCTGCCCGGTGCCTTTGGCACGCTGCGCCCAGGTGGCTCTGGCTTCCCCTCTGAAATCATAAATTCCCTCCCAGAAATTGTAGCACACAGAGAGGAGAGCCTCAGCTTGCATTTTAGTCTTCTACTCAATGTGCGTGTTCGGCTCCCAGTCCTTTTAAGAGCAGTGAATTAGCTCCCTTCCCCAAGACCCCCTCGCTTCGCTGTAGGCAAACGTTTCAGCACAGCATGCTGAAGTGCATGCTTTATTCATTCACTTATTTTTATATATATTTATTTTAATGTCTTTCTGCCAGAGAGCCACAGTGACTGCTTTTCTTCCCCCCTGTGGTGACACGGGGGTGGGGTGGGAGGAAACGAATTTAATAATGATCTGTTTGCGCTGAGAAGGGGCTGCCTATGCTAATCCCGGGAAGAGACAGAGGCGAGGATCCTAACGCCTGCTGCGAGCAATGGGCTGCCCCTCCTGGAAGGAGCCGGGTGCTGGCGATGATGAGGGAGAAAACGCTTAATTCTGCCAGTTGAAGCGGCGCTCCTCTGAAACCTGACGCGTCCTCCTGCATTTATGCATTTAAGGTGACTTGCGGGAGGATATGGCTTGCTATCTGCCTGAGCTACAAATGCAAGCAGGAAAATAGAAATGCATAGAGACTGCCACAGAGATGCCTTTTCTGAGAAAAAGGTAAAACCTGGATGTGCCTGGCTTCAGCCCCCGCTCAGGAATGACAGCAGGGAACAAGTGTCACTTCCCACAGTGCCAAAGTCCCCCTGCCATCCTAGGAGCGTGACAGAAAAAACCCTGGCACCTGGATCTCACTGGGTCCAACAATATCTTGTTTTTTTTGTTGTTGTTGTTTTTTTTGGCTATATTAGATGGCCATTCTACTATGGAATTAGAAAAGAGATGTAGACACTATAGTCTTACGGCATATCACTGTCCCCTGGCACATCTTTGTCCAACAACACCAGAAAAACAGATCTGGTAGCTGGATCCTCCATTTTGCCTTTCCCCTCAATTTTCCCATTCTGAAGTCTAAATGGTGGATAAGGTGGCAGATCCTCATGCACAGGACCTCCTCACAGCCTCACAAAGGAGCAAGACAAACATTAAACCCTGCTTGGTTCCTGCTTTTTGTTGACTGAACAATCCCCTCACTGCCAAAAATATGACTGGTAAAGTTTGCCTTGCTCCCTGTTCTCATCCTCTGACTTCAGGCTTGAAGCTAAAAACTGGCAAAGGAAATGAGATGCGCTCATATCTCTGGACGGGCGCAACATAAAAGACCTATTCACGATCTTTTCTTTGTAGAGTCCAGCAGCTTGTTGACCACAAACCTTTAAATTTGGCCATGAACAGGTAAACCCCAGACAGATAACCAATGTGCCTGTGCCAAGCCCGCTACAAAATTGAATTCTTTTTCTACCTGTGCTTAACTGTTTTCTAAAAAATGTAGATTCTTAAAAATTTACTTTTTATACGAACAACAAAAGGAGTTTACTGTGAAAAAAAAAACTTTATCTAGTTGTTTCAATAAAACAACTTAATCTGGAGCTTTTTAGATTCTGTTAGTTTTCATAACATTGACATTTTGCAAGATGCCAATGATCACCATATCCAGGATTTCATTGATCAAATTTCTTTTGAGCTGCTTAATCACGTTGGGGCAGGGGATAGACTGTCTAGTACATATAAAGACAAATATGTCTTAACGGGAGAAATGCTCCTTCCTAGCTGAAAATCCCAAATTACTTGGGAGCTGAATTGGCCAGGTAAAATATAAGGAGATGTGTCACCCCGTTTGATGGTACAGTTCGGTTTGGCTTGGGGCCAAAAACTGATAGGATCCAGCAGTGTGATTTTTTTTTCTGATGCACCTGTACCACTCCACAAGCAAATCTAGGTAATATTTTTGATACATGAAGAGCTCCTCTCTCTGCCATCTGTCCTCTCCACTGTAGCCAATACAATTATGTGGCTGGGGTTAAAGCTGTTGGAGTCCCTGTACTATGAATCTTTGGGCCAAGAAACATCTCCAACCCAGGACTTTCAGCACAGGCAGTAGGTATTTTCTGTGTAGAAGACACATTGAGACTCTGGGGCCAAAAGTTGGTAGGATCCACTGTGGATGGAGATTTTTGCAACACTCCTTCCTGGAGATATTTTAGGCTGTTTTTTTTTTGGTGCAGCAGTTGTGCCTATGTTGTTTCCTATTTGTGCTGTGGTCTGTGGTGCGTGAGCGCCAAATACTACATGGGGCTAGTTAGATCCCTCTGCCTTCTCCCTGGTACTGTGGTACCAGCATGTGCCGAGATCCTGAGTTTTCTGATGCAAGGAAAATGATTATGCTGATTTCCCTGTTAAACAACTGCATTCGGAGACCAGGAGTCTTTTATTTTCTGGATCCTTCAGCATCCATGTTTTTTCTTTTCTTTCTTTTCTTTCTTTCTTTCTTTCTTTTTTTTTTTCTTTTTCCAAGCTCATGCATTGTGTTATGTGGCTGGGTGGGATTTTTTTGATGCAGTAAGAAGCAGCTACAGTTGTTCTGGATTTAGGTGACAGAATGTGAGAGACTGTGACAAGAAAAAAAATCATCAGGATCCAGTTAGATCCAGGTTTTACCATTTTCCCCTTTTAAGAAAGTAAGACTTCGACATTTCCTGTCTGTGAAGTGGTGCAGTTTATCTTTAAGGAGGCTAGAGAAATAAGAAATGAGTCTCACGTTGCATGGGTGACATCACTGGCTTTTGGCTCAGTGCTCTGTATTCTCTGTCTGTAGGCTTTAGCCAAGGCTGCAGGGCTCAGTGTTTGAACAAGGAAAGATTCCCAGGTGTACAGAAGATTGGATACGCTCTTATATGGGTTAAAAAATGGTGAAATGAGATTTTTAAAGCTTGCGGACCCCAGCTCGCCTTCTGTTGCTCTTGATCGCCACAAGATGGGTGAGTTATTCCAATTAGAGAGAAAGGGAGTGGAAATTTAAGGAGAGAAAAAAATGTCTGAATATAAATCTGCTGATGCTGGGGATAGGATTCACATGAAGCTGCTGAGCTAAAAATCTCAGCTGCGATGTGGAGATCAGGCCATATGGCAGAGAATGACCGAAAGCTGTTGACAACCGTTAGGGGCTGCTTTCCTCTCCCCCTGTAAGGTGTGTAGCTCTTTTTTTGTGTGTGTGTGCTGTTAGTTTGTTTTGGTTCGATTTCCTCCGACCTCCCCTCCCCATTGCTTAGCATCCTTTCAATCAGCCATAGCTCTGCCTGCCTGCCTTCATCTTGCAGATGGCTAACGTGCCTGCGTGTTAGGAAAGCTGTGCACAACACACTGAAGCGTCCGTGAAGAAGGAAGCCCTTCAGATAGCGGCGGAAGGGGGCGGAAAAGCCATGCCGGGGCTCAGGACTGCTTCCAGTGCTGCCTAGCGGGAGGCGCGCGGTCCGCGGCGGCTCCGGCTCCGGCGTCAGCTCCGGCTCCTTCCAGTGCCCGCTGGGACCAGGGAGGCTGCTGCGCTGCTGGAGGTGGGAGAGCCCAACCGCTGCCCCGTGAGCGATTCGGGGCTCGCGAGCCCGGGCTGCTCGAGGGAGGGGAGCGCTACGTTACGTTGCCTTGATGACAGCGCAGACAACGTCGCGAACTGAGTGAATGGCAAGGCTGGCAGGGAGAAGCCGAGGTGTTTTGGACAGCAAGATGTCAGTGACTGTGAGCAAAGTCTGCTGAGGGGGGGACCCGCGCCCGCCTGAATTTCCCATTGCAGCCGGGGAGGTTGTGTGTTAGCCACGATCTCAAACGGCAGTGGCAACAACAACAGATTGCTCCCCCTCGTGCTCCCTCCCCTTCGACCCTGCTGTAAGCCCAAGCAAACGACTGTCCAGATGATGCTCGCGGTGAGCGGCTGACAAAGAACAGGCAATCCCAGACTCTTGCCACCGGGATAGTTGGCTCGAAGATTTCTCAACGTCCAACTTTTCTGTCCTGTGATGCTGCTGTGAACCTGCTCTCCAAAAGCTATCGCGTCTGTTGTTCCCGAGCTGGCCAGATGGGAAGAGATTAATGGACTGATCAAACAGCCGTAGCCTTCGCGTCTCTGGCGGGGGCTCTCACTTCAGCGCGCGGAGCCGCGTGAGCAGCGGAGCAGGACACCCCTGAGGAGGAGCTTCCCCGAGCCCGTCCCGCACCCCGCGCAGGGCCGCGTTTCTCCTCGCCAGGTCTCGGCCCCAAAGAAGGAGGCAGATGAGACGCCAGGACTGCCTCCAGGGCAGAACTTTGTAGCGCTCGCGTGTCCCTCGGCAGCGTGGATGTGAGCCGCAGGAGTCGTGGATGTTTGAGGCCGCGGGAGTTGTGGATGTTTGAGGCAAACTCCATCAAGTGACACCAAGCAGCTGCCCCGGAGGTTTTCGCGTGGTCTCACGTCGAAGGGCTTTGTCCGTGGTGAGGATGTCCATGGTGTTTCTGTGAAGCTGAGGTATGGCTGCCGGAAGGTTACTGCTCTATGCTGGCCTCTCTTTAGCTTTGTGTGCCCTGGGCATGCTGGCCGTAGCAATCTGCTCTGACCACTGGTATGAAACTGATGCCAGGAAGCACAGGGAGAGGTGCAAGAGCATCACCGGTAAGAGAAACGATCCTGGCTTCATTTATAACTCCAACAACAACCTGCCTCTCAGGGCCAGCAGGTCTAGGTTGGACCGCTGGGAAGGGAAACTCCTCTTGGCAAGAAACAGGAGGCAGATCTTTGCCATGAGTCCGGTCGATGAGTGCAACAGACAGTACAATTCCACCAACATGGGGCTCTGGAGAAAGTGCCACCGACACGGATTCGACCAAGAGCTGGAGGAGCTGATTGCCAAAGGTAAGGGCTGCTTTTACCGAAGGAACACGCCAGGCCCGGCGGAGGCGCCGGGGCTGAGCAGAGCCGTGCGCGCCCGCAGACGGGGGCTGGTGTTGTAGCCAAGTCCCTCTCCTTGCGTTGGGGGACCGGGCTGGGCTGTGTGCTGCTTCCCAAACTGGTGCCAACACAGTCTCCCACGGGATCTCTGCTGCTGCCACTTGGGGTTTGGGTGAGAGCAGAAGCACCCCAGCATGTCTCTTTCATGTCTCTGTTTCTCCAAGCTTATTATAGTCTGTCCATCACCATGGTTTCAGGATGTTTTCCGCACTGATGTGAAGAGTCTTAATAAAGCAAACGATCAAATTTGTTCTAATGAAAAAGAAAAATTAGATTTTTTTTTAGCTTGACCCTGCTGATTCAGCCAATATATTGTCTCACTGGAGGTTACCTATGTCTGTATTTCATCGTTCCCTTAGCAAATGCCCCAGCAGTCCTGAATTACACCATTTGCAGTGTTCACATGCAGGCTGCTTCTTTCCTCAAATGGAGAGTAAACAAAGGGAAATGCTAAAAAGCAGGAGGGAACCCAGCTTGCTGTGTATGCAGAGACACATTTTAGAATATTTTTGATGTCTACAAAACATTACATGAATTTATCAGGAGTGTTAAAAAGGAATCATTTTCTCTCAGGGTGGAGATGCATCTCTGCCTGAAGCATCATTGTGCTATTCTTTCTCTTGCCTTTTGGTCCTTCTTTTCTTCCTCAAGATGACAATTAAAGAAGATGGTCAGTTTGCCTCAAATATTTTTTTAACCTAAAGTACAGGAAGAATATGCACAAAACCTCACGTAAAAAAATATATCGCAAGATGACAAGGGTTTCAGTAAAAGATGACAGCATCTTTGCTGCCCACATCATGGTTACTCCATACAACAAAATAACATTTTCCTCCCATGCTTCTTCTATTGCATTTAGATGATTCCCTAGCATTTTTTTTTCTGCCACAGTGAAATCACTGCTTCTAACACTGGGTTATCTTTAAAAATACTTGTTTTCTAAATGTATTCTCTGCCCCAAAGTCCCCTGATAACCTGCGTTAGTTCCTGCTTCAGAAATTGCATGCAGAATCGCTGCTAAAGTCTAATTATTCTCAAGGGAGATGCTTTCACATGGGATTGCCGATGTATAGTTGAGTCTGAATGTTTTAGAAGTGAGCAGCAGAGGTTAGAGGTGCTGGATAGACCTAAGCTGCAATAACATGAAAGTGGTGCCGTGGGGAGCCCCTTTCCCTTGGATCACTAGTTTGGATCCGGCCTGTGTTCCGAGTAACTATTAGTGTCCAGCTGCTGTTTCGCAACCTATGTGAAATGAACCAGTGGCTTCGGTGGCACGTGTAGCGCACAAGCGAACGTGCCCAGAGGCTGCCAGCGTGCGGGCGCCTCGCTGGGGTCCCGGAGCCCTGGGAGGGCTCTCGTGCAGTGGCCTCAGCGCCCTGGGAGCGCTCTGGAGCGCCCAGGTGAGGCTGGACCGTGTGGGGGAGGCCAGGCCGCGCAGCCACGTGCGCCTTGTGTGCTTTGGGCATAAACAAAGAAGCTCAACCTTGGCAGCGGACAAACATTTGAGCAGAGCTCACCTCTGGGACACGGAGTTGTAATTATCAGAGAGGCTTTTCTTCCTGCAGCGGGCGTGAGGCGCTCCGGCTGCCCGCCTGCTCCCGGCTTCAGGAGCGTCCGCTTCTCCTACTGGGAGCGGGTGAAATCGCCTGGCTCTGGGAGACGTGTGAGCACGACGCTTGGAGCGTTAGCGACAGTGAAAACGTGGGACCTCAAACCCAGGCAGCTAAGTGCAGGAGATGGTCTGCAAAAGACCCTGTTTTAATCTGAGCGTGCGCGTGCCAGTGTGCGCATGTGTGCACGTATGGTGAGCCGAGTCTGGATACACACGAGGGGACATGGAGCAGGTAGCGAGGGTCGCGTTGCTGAGCTCAGGTACGGGGTGCCTTCCTGCAGACATATTTCTGGACATACATGTGTGCAGATGGCCACACAGCCACTTCTCAGTGTTGCTGCCCCAGAGGCAGAGGTGCAACTTGTGCACGTACAGGAGGTACGTGCAAATACCAATGTGCACAACTGCTTGCCACTGGTTTACAAAAACACATGTTAAATTCTTACCTGACTGTTTGCCTTCTTTAGAGGTTTTTGGTGCACGTTGGACAAACTTTTAAACTACACCTTGCAGGAAATGTTAAAGGAGAAAGATTCTTAATGGTAAATGCCACATTACAGTTCATTTGGTTGTTTGTTTTGGAGTGAGAATCTAGCTATACTGTAACTCTCAGCCATGATGAAGAGTCGCACATTAATATTAATCCCGTTGAGCTGTGTTTTTTTGGCACCTCCAGATTAAAGCATAGAAAAGCAAATATAATGGCAATATAGTAATATAGAGCTTTGATTTGTTCAGAAGTGAAATTGGAGATAGCAGTACCGTAGGATTACCCATCCATTTTATAGAAACAGTTAGATAAAAAAGACTGAATTTTTTTCCAAAAAGAATGAATGAGTTTTTGCAAAAAAGTATTGTAAAATAATCATCAATTAAAATTCCTTGTGTGCTGGAGCTGTTGAATTAGGAATTTGATATGTGTGCATAAGAGCTAGCTTTACGTGGGTAATCAACCAGTTTCCACCTGAGGAGCAGATATTAACCTGCTTCTTTATGATGCACAGTTGACCAGGGAAAGTAGATTTGCCTTTGCTGTCAGCTGTAGAAAACAGCTGTGAGTTCAAACTGAAGCCTTCAAGTCCATTTTAACAGGACCACATCCCTCTTCTGGGTTTTATCCAACTGGAGACATGGCGGGGGGATAGTAATGGCAAGGGAAGGCATCTGGACAAAGCACATCCTGGGCAAATGAGAAGAACTATGAATGTACTGTACCTGCGGTAATTAGATACCCCAAGGGGGTAAATATTCCTGCCCAGATGAAATTTCTTCCTGCTTAAAATAAGAGCTCCAGGGCAAGTATCATTAAAAAGACCTATCTTGAGGATGTCTTTGGAACATGGGCCTTTATCCTCGAACTCCTGCCAGCTGTTAATTTAATTTGAGACACCTCTTCCGGAACTGGATAAAGTGATACAGGTTCTGGCCCTAGATATTGCATATAATACTATATGTAACTGAATGTAATACTGCTAAGCTTTTTTCTTTTTTTCTTTTTTCTTTTTCTTAAGCTAGATAGGATCTAAGTGATCCCTTTATTTTTGGACAGATCTACATTTTTCCCTAGGCAAAAACTTTCAATCCTGGGAACGGTAGATTTGTCTATGAAAAAATAACAAAACATAGTCATTAAGAGCCCAACTGCCTTTGCAAATATCCTGCAGTTATTGTGATTATGAACTGTGCTGAAATTAATGCAAGCCGCAGGCCATGGACTGTTGCAGGATCAGGCCTTATGATACTTTGCAATATTATGATAACAGTGATTTTAAAAGACAGTTATATTTCCAAAGATTCTGGGTCATTTCCTTAATTTTGTGTCTGTATTTCTTATTTTACTTTCTGGCCAGTACATCAAAACCTATGTTTGATTTTGCTAGAAAAGTTGGACATCTCTTACTTCAGCTTTCTTATTGATAGATATTACAAATACTAATGCATATAAAACTGCTTCTCTTCTTTAAAATTCTTGTATACGTTTTCTTAAATTCCAATAGAATCAAGGTGAAAATTTGAAAATTATACCATTAGATAAATAGAAAATGAATTAACACAGGCTTCACAAATAGGCATATTCAGGAAGAAGCAAGCAGACATACAACACCAGAGGCCTGAAGAATATTCTACAACTGCATTAAAATCAGGCAGTTAATTTGTTTGCTTTGTTATGATAAATGAAAGAAAATCAGAAAGAGGAATTACGGACAATTACTGGAGTCAATCATGCAACCCAGGACCCAGTCTTGCTAGCTTTTCCTCACCTGGATAATTCGTATTCCTGTGAATGGGCTAACTGGGTGGAAGTGAAAAAGGACCAAGGAGAAGGAGCTTAAAAGGTGGTTTGCTGGTCCTACCTTGGTGTTTGATCAAGTCTGTTAACATTGCTGGACCGGAGATGTTCACCAGAAATTGACTCTCGATCCCCAAAGCCCTGAACTGTCAGGAAACACTTGCTGTGCTCCTGATCAGCACAGGACCACGCTCCTTCCTGGTCAGAGGTGTCTGTATGGTCTCCTTGATGAAGTAAATAGCTCT